AGATAGATAGATAGATAGATAGATAGATAGATAGATAGATGATATAGATAGATAAATAGATAGAGATAGATAGATAATAGATAGATAGATGGTAGGTAGGTAGGTAGGTAGATGATTAGATGATAGATAGATAGATAGATAGATAAATAGATAGAGATAGATAGATAGATAATAGATAGATAGATGGTAGGTAGGTAGGTAGGTAGATGATTAGATAGATAGATAGATAGATAGATAGATAAATAGATAGAGATAGATAGATAGATGATAGACAGACAGACAGACAGGCGTATAGAGGGATGAGAGAGATAATAGGGATAGAGAGATATATATGAGAGAGACAGATGGTGATAGAGATGGAAAGAAAGGAGAAATATAGATGACAGACGGACAGAGATAGAACAGGTGTGTGTGAGTGAGGAGAGAGACATGGAGAGAAAGAAGGGAGAAAATAGGGTTGGATAGAGTTGATAGAAATGATGGCTGGAGGATGGATGGATGGATGGATGGATGGATGGATGGATGGATGGATGATAGGTAGGTAAGCAGGATGGATGGATGATAGATAATAGATATAGATGATAGGTAGATAGATAATGATAGCTAGGTAGGTAAGATAGAGAGAGAAAGATAGATGGGTAGATAAGATGGATAGATAGATAGACAGACAGACAGACAGACAGACAGATAAAAGAAGAGGGAGTAAAGAGAGAGAGATTGGTTTTAGGGGGAGGATTTGAATTGGGGGCCAGCTGCCTCCTCCTATTCCTATTATTCCTAAACCAGAGATTACCATTCTGGCTCAAACCCCAAAATCAGTAAATGCAGCCCAGCCCGTAATGCTATTAATTATACGGAACGCAAATTAAAATTTAATCCGAATGGAAGCTAAACCTATCACTGCTTTTTATCTATTTGGAAATAATAAACCCCTGGAAAGGTTTTGCTCGTCCTTTCATTTCATTGCCGTTTGCAGGGGGGAGGTTCAGCCTGAACACAAGTCATGATGGCTTCTTCGGGGAAACTGGGATTGAAACCCACCCCCAGGATGTGCTCATATTCTACCTCGGTCTGATTTCGTGTTTTGCTTTTTTTAAGAAAAACAGACCCGGGTGAAGGCAGATCCTGACCTTCGTTTAAATGTGGAAAGCAGATTCTTTTTAAAAAAAAAGAAAAATAGAGGTTGAAAAATGCGGATGGGAGAAAATTGGGAGGGGGGCTGATTTTGCTTTGCTGGAAGGGATTGTTTGGAGGGTGGGG